ACTTTTAATTTTTGCTTAATCCTTTTTGAAGCGAATTTATTAGATGCATACTTGTTTAGAATTCTTAAATTTTCCTGATAGAGTGAATTTTTATCAATATGTGGCAACTATAAATATGTAGTAATTTTTTTATTCCTTAGAGTCCATTTCATCTGATATTAATAGTCCCATCAGCTTTCTTTAGGTTAGTATTTTTCAGTATATTAAAAAAATTTTTTTCTACCATATTTCATCTAATCTGACATGCCTTCCATTGTAAATGCATCTCAGTTGAGAGAAATTAATATGTGAAAAAAATGGTTTGCCAGCAATAGTAAGATATCATCAATTGAAAGCTGTGCCTTGATTTCAGATGTGTTAATATGTGAAAAAATATACAGCAGGAATTTATGAAACAGGGCTTTAAAATTTTGTTTCCATATATTTAAAGTATATCTTTTAAAAATAGCTCCTAACTGGAACTTTAAAAATCAGTTTAATAGATTTTTGTCTTTCAACTGAACTACTTGGGATATTTACTGATATACTTGGATCAATATCTACTGTTGTACTTTTTGCTATTTGTCCTATGTTTTTGCATCCTTTTTTCTACCCTTCCTGTCTTTTTTATTTTTTTTTCATTGATATTTCCTCTCCTCCCATTTTATTCCTCTACTAATTTACAAGGTACATACTATGCTTATCTTTTTTCACTGGCACTCTCTTAATTTTTTTTTTTTTTAGGAGAGCCAGGGAGATTTTTACTGAGAGATACAGTGAGAGGACAGACAGAGCTCCTGGCTCATGCCAGGAGTGGACAAGAGAGCCCCTCTGTTAATTTTAATATGCATATTAAAGTTGGTATCTTTACCACCTATTCAAATAAGCAAGGACCTGGTACTGTTTTCACTCTAGTCACTTGCATTCTTGACTTCTCCAGAATTTTAGGTCTGTCACTGATATGTTTAAAATTGTGCAAAGTCTAGCCATCATTGTTAGTATTCCATTCTCTCAATATTTGTTTAGGTTTTACCCATAAGTTTACTTTCTTCTTTTTTTCACTGTTGTCTTGGATCATTTCTTTTCTGCCTGAACTACAATCATTGGAAGTTCTTTCATTGAGAATTTATTAGTACATCTCTCAGGTTTTGGTTTTCAGAATATATGCTTATGCTGCCCTCTTTTGGGGAAGATAATTTTGCTGCATGTGCTATCCTAGTATAGCAGTTAGTTTTTCTTAGCATTTTGAAAAATCTTTAGTAAATATTGTAATTTCTTTATATCTGTCTTTCATTTTACTAATTCTTTCTTCAATTGTTTCTGCTTGTTAGTGTATACATTTAATTTTTAATATCAAATATAATTTTTTATAAGTTTTATTTGTCTGTTTTTCAAAGTTGGAACTTTATCATCAGCCATGCTTTCTTTTCTCCAATCCACCCAAAGCCACAGCTGTGACAGTCACATTTCCTTTGGTGTGTGTTTGTTTAATGGTTTATTTCCTAGATCACCAACTAAGAACATCTCCTTGGTTTGGCCTTTTTTAATGTGGAGGTCTCTGATTGAAATTTGCAACATTCTGAGACCACAGACTCAGGAGCCCATCAGATAAAAATAGAGATACAGAAGATGAAATATATAATATATTCTTTGATCTTTATATTTTTGACAAGTATATTTACATTAACCTATGAAATTGTAATTTCTGAATTGGATTTATTTTGCTTCATGTTTTTGGATGTGTTTTCCATCTCTTTAATTTTAATTGTTCTGTATTCATGTGTATCTTCTAGACAACTTTATTGTTGGCCCTTGTCTTAATCAAACCTGAAAATTTGATTTTCATTGTTGAATTTAACCTATTTATGATTTTTGTAGTTCATTTTATATTAGAGATTATTTGGCCATCCTATTTTTTATTTTGAATTTACTGTATTTTCTTATTTTGTACCTCCCTTTGATAGATCAGAGGTTTTTAAAATACTTTGAAGGTGATAATAGTCTATGTTTATGCTCTTTTTTAATGTTATTGTCATTGCTCATATTTTAAATTCACTTTTTACTTTTTAAGTGCACTAACACCTAATCTTTCTTCTAAACTAGACATCCATTTTATCACATTTTCCTTTCCACTTAGTTTCTTCCCCTTTTTTCCACCTGTTCCGTCTTCCTCTGCCATACTGATGTCTGAGGAATTTTTTTTTAATTAATTTATTAATTTTGTTGTCATTAATCTACAATTACATGAAGAATATTATGTTTACTAGGGTCCCCCCTTCACCAAATCCCCCCCCCCACAAACCCCATTACAGTACTGTCCATCAGCGTAGTAAGATGCTGTAGAATCACTACTTCTCTGTGTTGCACAGCCCTCCCCCATCCCCCCCCCACATTATACATGCTAATCGTAATGTCCCCTTTCTTTTTCCCACCCTTATCCCTCCCTTCCCACCAGTCCTCCCCAGTCCCTTTCCCTTTGGTAACTGTTAGTCCATTCTTAGGTTCTATGGTTCTGCTGCTGTTTTGTTCCTTCAGTCTTTCTTTGTTCCTATAGTCTTTGGGTTTGAGGTGAGTCTCTTGTAAGCAGCATAGAGATGAGTCTTGCTTTTTTATCCATTCTATTATTCTGTGTCTTTTGATTGGTGCATTCAGTCCATTTATATTTAGGGTGATTATTGAAAGCTATGTACTTATTGCCATTACAGGCTTTAGATTCATGGTTGCCAAAGGTTCAAGGTTAGCTTCTTTAGTATCTTACTGTCTAACTTAACTCACTTATTGAGCTATGTTAGACACTGTCTGGTCATTCTTTATTTTTCTCCCTTCTTATTCCTCCTCCTCCATTCTTTATATGTTGGTTGTTTTATTCTGTGCTCTTTTGTGCTTCCTTTAACTAGTTTTGTGGGTAGTTGATTTTATTTTTTGCCTTTAGTTAGTATTTGGTTGGTTGGTCTGCTTTCTTTGCTGTGATTTTATTTTCTCTGGTGACATCTATTTAGTTTTGGAAGTGCTCCCATCTACAGCAGTCCCTCTAAAATACCCTGTAGAGATGGTTTGTGGGAGGCAAATTCTCTCAACTTTTGCTTGTCTGGGAATTGTTTAATCCCTCCTTCATATTTAAATGATAGTTATGCTGGATACAGTATTCTTGGTTCAAGGCCCTTCTGTTTCATTGCATTAAATATATCATGCCATTCTCTTCTGGCCTGTAAGGTTTCTGTTGAGAAGTCTGATGATAGCCTGATGGGTTTTCCTTTGTAGGTGACCTTTGTCCTCTCTCTAGCTGCCTTTAAAACTCTGTCCTTGTCCTTGATCTCTGCCATTTTGATTATTATGTGTCTTGGTGTTGTCCTCCTTGGATCCTTTCTGTTGGGAGTTCTGTACACTTCCATGGTCTGATCGATTATTTCCTCCCCCAGTTTGGGGAAGTTTTCAACAATTATTTCTTCAAATACTCTTTCTATTCTTTTTCTCTCTTCTTCTTCTTCTGGTACCCCTATAATGCAGATATTGTTCCTTTGGATTGGTCACACAGTTCTCTTAATATTGTTTCATTCCTGGAGATCCTTTTATCTCTCTCTGCATCACCTTCTATGCGTTTCTGTTCTCTGGTTTCTATTCCATCAATGGCCTCTTGCATCTTATCCATTCTGTTTATAAATCCTTCCAGAGATAGTTTCATTTATGTAATCTCCCTCCGGACATCTGTAATGTCCTTTCGGACTTCATCCCTTAGCTCTTGCATATTTCTCTGCAGCTCCATCAGCATGGTTATGAGCTTTATTTTTAATTCTTTTTCAGGAAGACTGGTTAGGTCTATCTCCTTCTCAGGGTTTGCCTCTGTGATCTTGGTCTGTATCAATTTCTTCTGCCTTTTCATGGTGATAGATATATTTGTGGGGAGCTGGTGCGTGTGTTGGGTAAGAGAAAGTCCCTTCTTGCCAGTTTATAGCCTTCCTCTCCTGGGAGAAAAACGGCCTCTAGCAGCTTGTGCTGGGTAGCTGCGTGCAGACGGGGCTTCTGATCTTGCTCGGCCACTATGGAGTTTATTTAGCTCTGCAGTTGCTGTGGGCGTGGCCAGCCTCAGGCTGCTGCTCCAATATGGCAGAGACGCTTCCAAGGGGGAACAGGCGGGAGGCTGTTTATCGCAGTGAGGGGCCTCCGAGCTGCGCTGCGGGGGTTCTGTCCTGGGTGCGCCAGCTGTGGGGACCCGCTCACAGGTCTTACTGTCCTGTTTCCCTAGTATCCAGGACCCCACACATGCACTGCGTCTGCGCTCCGGGGAGGATGGCTGGGGCTGGGTGTTCAGCAGTCCTGGGCTCCCTTTCCTCCCTCCTCTCCTCCCGCTGGAAGCTGGGGTGAGGGGCACTCGGGTCCCACCAGGCCGCGGCTTGTATCTTATCCCCTTCATGAGGAGCTGGGTTCTCGTGGGTGTGGATGTAGTTGATGTCTGAGGAATTTTAGATACGGATTATAATGGATGTTCTCTCTACACCTCTGCCACTCCTTCCCACAAAAGAAACTGCTTAGGGGTGACTAGGTTTTTTTGACCTCTTGTTATCTTCTCTTTGCCAAAGCTAAGCTGACCTTGAACACTACCCTGATGTGTACTCCACTGCCTGCCTTGAGTGGAGATTGGACAGGAAGTAATCTGCCTGGGGCAATGAAAATAATCTTGTATAAAGCTCTTCTCAGTGCATCTGGAGCTTCTAGATCTCTTCTGAGAAAGTCTTTTCTCCTCAAGGCATTTTCAGTTTTTATGTTAATTCCTTAGATCTGTAAACCTCACTTGCATCTCTTTGGTATTTCTAGATTTGAGTTTATGAGATGCAGTCATGCAAGCTTCTCTTTTTTTTTTTCAGCACTCAAGTCTTTATAATATCATTAATATAATTGTATTTTTAATGCTAAATATTTTGGAGTTTGGTAAACAGTACCTTGCAAATACAGAAATATTTCTTAAAAATCATAGTGGAATGTGTTATTAACTTTATTTCTTTTTTTAACTCTGATCTTCCCAGTTCTGATAGCATCAGCAGTGATGAGGAAGAGCTGAGGACTTTGGGAAGCAGTGATAGTGAGAGCAGCACTCCAGAGAATGTCAGGCCTCCTTTCATCATGGATGACAATACTTGGTTCAACAAGTTTAAGAGAGTTAAACAGAAGTATCAACTAACCCTGGAACAGAAGGTATCAGTTGCTAAAAGTCATTTAATTTGGTTCTACTTATTGTGTTTTGCCTGTCAGTGCCAAAAGATGTTTTTAGTTGAATGTAAGTATCTACCCATTACTACTTCCTTTCTGTTCTTGAATTGTCCTTCTCCTAATTTTAAATGCAAAGTTTCTAGATGTTGTGTTCATTTTCTAATTTTATGTTTTAATATAAAAATAAGTGATTTAATCTTCTGTAAGCAGTTTCATTGACATTTTAGTTTCTATGATTAATTTTACAAAAGATCATTTGGTTTGTGAAAATTCAATCATTCTTTTTCACTGTATTACTTATTTTACCTTCTTTTTAAATTATTATTCTTAGGTGATATGTAGGAAAATTCAATGGAATTAGCAGTACAAATACTAAAATAAACAGTACTATGAAGAAAATAGTTACAAAATGTATTTACAAATATGAATAGATTTCCTATATACAAACAGCTTTGGTTACAAAATACAGAGATCTCATTATAAAAGGCACAAAATGTAATGTATATGAAAAAATCGTTAATCAAAATAGCGGCAGCATTTTTCAATAAACTGGGACAAATAGTTCTAAAATTCATATGGGACCGCAAAAGACCCTGAATAGCCAAAGCAATCCTGAGAAGGAAAAATAAAGCAGGGGGAATCTCACTTCCCAACTTCAAGCTCTACTACAAAGCCACAATAATCAAGACAATTTGGTACTGGCACAAGAACAGACCCATAGACCAGAGGAACAGAATAGAGAGCCCAGATATAAACCCAAGCTTATGTAGTCAATTAATATATGATAAAGGAGCCATGGATATAAAATGAGGAAATGACAGCGTCTTCAACAACTGGTGTTGGCAAACAGGACAGCTACATGTAAGAGAATGAAACTGGATCATTGTCTAACCCCATACACAAAAGTAAACTTGAAATGGATCAACGACCTGAATGTAAGCCATGAAACCATAAAACTCTTAGAAGAAAACATAGGCAAAACTCTCTTGAATATAATCATGAACAACTTCTTCATGAACATATCTCTACGGGCAAGGGAAACAAAAATGAACAAGTGGGACTATATCAAACTAAAAACCTTCTGTACAGCAAAGGACACTATCAGTAGAACAAAAAGGCATCCTACAGTATGGAGAATATAGTCATATCCGACAAGGGGTTAACATCCAAAATATATAAAGAACTCACACACCTCAACACCCAAAAAGCAAAAACCTGATTAAAAAATGGGCAGAGAATCTGAAAAGACACTTCTCCAAAGAAGAAATTCAGATGGACAACAGGCACATGAAAAATGCTGACCATCACTAATCATTAGAAAAATGCAAATTAAAACCAAATGAGGTATCACCTCACACCAGTCAGGATGGCCACCATCCAAAAGACAAACAACAACAAATGTTGGCGAGGTTGCAGAGAAAGGGGAACCCTCCTACACTGCTGGTGAGAATGTAAATTAGTTCAACCATTGTGGAAAGCAATATGGAGGTTCCTCAAAAAACTCAAAATAGAAATACCATTTGACCCAGAAATTCCACTGCTAGGAATTTACCCTAAGAATGCAGGAGCCCAGTTTGAAAAAGACAGATGCACCCCTATGTTTATCACAGCACTATTTACAATAGCCAAGAGATGGAAGCAACCTAAGTGTCCATCAGTAGATGAATGGATAAAGAAGAAGTGGTACATATACACAATGGAATATTATTCAGCCATAAGAAGAAAACAAATCCTACCATCTGCAACAACATGGATGGAGCTAGAGGGTATTATGCTCAGTGAAATAAGCCAGGCAGAGAAAGACAAGTATCAAATGATTTCACTCATCTGTGGAGTTTAAGAACAAAGGAAAAACTGAAGGAACAAAACAGCAGCAGACTCACAGATCCCTACAATGGACTAACAGTTACCAAAGGGAAAGGGACTGGGGAGGATGGGTGTGGAGGGAGGGATAAGGGGAAAAAGGGGCATTACGATTAGCACACATAGTGTGGCGGGGGGCATGGGGAAGGCAGTATAGCACAGAGAAGACAAGTAGTGATTCTATAGCATCTTACTACTCTGATGGACAATGACTGTAATGGGGTATGTGGTGGGGACTTGATAATGCAGGAAACCTGGTAACCACAAAGTTGCTCATTTAATTGTATAATTAATGATACTGAAATAAAAAAACCAAGGTTACAGGTGGGACCTCAGTGTTAATGTTTTATGTTGTTATATAAAAAAATTTTTTCTATAAAGCATAACTTTATACTGTATGAAAATAATATGAATATACTATTGTGGAAATTTCCAGAAAAACAAAACAAAACAAAACAAAACAAAAAAACTTTAATATTCTTTTAAAGATTACTACAAGTAAGAAGTCATACTAAAATAATCTGAAAGCCTTTATATTACAGAAATCTGAAACTGCCGAGTAGAATACACTAAAAGAGTGTTTCATGAAGATCTGATATTTTGAGGAATAGGAACTCACTAAGGACCAGACACCTAAAGGGACCTGAAATCAAGAATAATAAGTTAATTAAAGCCACTACAGGCCCTAGTGAGGGACAGTTCTCTTAACCCAGGTACTTATGTTTTAATACCACCAGGGGAACAGTAAATCTAGGCCCCCTATCATTCAAGATGGAATTATCTAGAAGGAGAAGGGAGATGCAAAATGGCAGATAAATATATAAACCTTGACTACAGGGAACAACAATGTTCATGACCAAAGCAGGGTGGCAGGGGTTGACTGGAATATGTTTAATAAGTAGCTTTCACAGAAAAAAATAGAGCCTTGATTTTGTAGCATTTGCTGATTTCTCTGGATTACATATTTCCAAAATGAACTCCAATATTCAGTCAAATACTGGGTAAATATTCCAGTATTCAGTTGTGAGTACAGAATTGGGAAGAGATGCACAGTAACACACCATTATATTCTGTTTCTACCAGACAGACACAATAGATGTAAATGATTTCAGGAACACAGACCGTACATAGGAAGTAATGAGTTTTAAGTAGGTATTGCCTTGAATTTTTACTTAATTTTCTTGATAATTTACTTAAGTTTAGATTATTTAATTTTTAGTAATTTTCAACAACTGAATTATGAAATTTCTGAAATTTAGCAATCAGCTCTTGGGAGTCATATAAGCCAGCTGCAGCCCACCCTGGAGCTCAAAGTGGAATTAAAATACTCAATATCAGGAAGGATGAGTGAGGATGATTGAAGTCAAAGGCTTTTGAGGTCTTTGTATTACAGTGAAGGAATGTAGACACGTTTTTTAAATTTGTATGCCTGAATTCAAAGTTGCAATTAAAAGTGGAATATTTAACTTCCAAATTAATACTCAAAGAAATAAGGAAAACAATTAATACAATAGAAAGGGGGAAAATGAGGAAAAATAAGGATCATATAAAGAGAACACAAAATAAGGTGGTAGAAATAAATCTCAACATAACCAAAAGAGTCATCACTGTAAAAGTAAATGGCATAAACCCGTCAGTTAAGAGAAACTCTTAAATCTGTTTGTTTAATTGTAAATTTTAGTTACATACTGTCTATGAGAGACATACATAAGATCCAAATGACACAAAAAAGTTAAAACTAAAGAGGATAAACATAGTAGGAAAATACTAACCAAAAGAAGTTGGTATTAGTATCATTCAACATATACATTAAGGCAAAAGCATCATTAAAACTAAAGACACTACCTTTTTAAAAAAGGAACAATTCACCAGGAATGTATAATAGTGCTGAACTTACATGCATGCATCTAACAATGTAGGCATGAGAAATATGAAGTGGAAATTAATACAGTATTCAAGAGAAATTGATAAGTACTAGGAAGTTTTAATATCTTTTAAAATAATTTTTTAGATTGAGTAGACAAAATATTAGTAGGGATGAGGATGCATGAAATAGGTGAAGGGGAGAAAGTGGATACAATTCCAATTACAAAATAAATTAGTCAAGGGGATGAAAGTACAGCATAGAGAATATAATCAACAAAATTTTTGTAATATCTATGTATAGTGATAGATGGTAATTACACCTATCATGGTGAGCATTTTGTAATGTATATAATTGTTGAGTCATTATGTTGTACACCAGAAACCAATATAATATGGTTTCTGTAAACATTTCAATTTTTAAAAATTAATAAGGATATAGTGAACTTAAACAACACAGTAGTAACCTTGAGCTAAAACATGTTCAAGGACACATAGGAGAGCTATCTAGTTTTTATGATGCATGCTAGGTCACAAATCAAATGCCAATAAATACCAAAAAATTGACATAGTAGTGTGATCACAATGTAATAAAGTTAGATTCAATACACTACCCATTCACAACTCAGGGAGATTTTTTTCATTTTTTTTAATTGAGGTATCATTGATATGCAGTCTTACGAAGTTTTCACATGAAAAATATTGTGGTTACTACATACAGCATATAACCAAGTCCCCCACATATCCTGTTGAAGTCACTGTCCATCAGTGTAGTAAGATCCCACAGAGTCACTACTTGTCTTCTCTGTGCTACCTTGTCTTCCAGTGACCCCACCACACTATGTGTACTAAACATAATACTCCTCAATCCCCTTCTCCCTCCCACCAGACCAACCCTCACCCAGCCCTCCCCTTTGGTAACCGCTAGTCCCTTCTTGGAGTCTGTGAGTCTGCTGCTGTTTTGTATCTTCAGTTTTGCTTCGTTGTTATACTCCACAAATGAGGGAAATCATTTGATACTTGTCTTTCTCTGCCTGGCTGATTTCACTGAGCATAATACCCTCTAGCTCCATCCATTTTGTTGCAAATGGTAGGATTTGTTTTCTTCTTGTAGCTGAATAGTATTCCATTTTGTATGTGTATGACCACTTTATCCATTCCTTTACTGATGGACATGTAGGTTGCTTCCATATCTTGGCTACTGTAAATAGTGCTGCAGCAATCATAAGGGTACATATGTCTTTTTAAATCTGGAAACT